ATCTTAAAGCTTTCTGCTTTCAAGTCCTCGACCCACAAGGCCATGGCATCCTGACTTCGGTTGGTAACACCATGAGTGACAGTCACGAAAATGGTTGGAGGAGATGAAAAACGCTGAAACATAAGAGGATGCGTTACACATTTTAAGGCCTTGCCGACAGACTTAAGGGTGAGAAGTTCAAAAGGAATAAATCAAACCATATTTAAACATTTGTAGGAAATATCACGACAAACGATAATAGTAATAATAATGACGATGAAATAATAATAATAGTAATAAATTATAAACTAAGTAAATGGGGTTCTGTGAGGCTATGGATTAAACAGCAATCCAGTCTATTTCCTTAGTACTTTTCGAGCTGTCTCGAAACTCCACAACGCAAACTGTGAATCCACTTTCAATAGCATCGTCAACCCAGATCGCACCACCATTACGAGGATTTTGGCTCCTCTCTGTATGGCCAACGGTGGCAAAGACCTTTACTTTCTGTCGGTCATAGAAATGATACTGAAAGGATATTTTTTGCAAGTGAACAGATCTGGTGTGGTAGTAGTAACTAATTTTCTTTCCGGCCTTGAAACCAAGAGCTGTTAGGAAATAAATAAAGACGCGTTCAAATACTAGATATTTTTATTTGCAGTTGTCCTAGAATTACAATGTACCCTCTATTTGCGATCCGGTAAACTGTTCTATTGCTTCTGAGTGCGCCCCTCCCTTGTTCCTCTCCCTCTTTATTTTCTTCTAACCCGCGTTGTTATCAGTGTAAAATAGATATTTCACGTCAATAATCCCCTTTCAGCCATTTTACGGCTATATAAAGGAAACCGTATCGACATAACATCACTTGCTGGAGAAACGAAGATGACAACAAAGACAGCAAAGAGCAAACCGACTGAGCGTTGGCACTCGCGCGACATCTTGCTCAGAATGACCAGTGTATTTGCCTGCTGCAAATGAAAACCTCCCAAAAGGATCAAAGTCAAACATCTTTACTCGCAGAGACCTTTCCATTTCGTGAGGGAAAATCGAGTTTCGAAATACTAAAAGAAAAAAGTG